GCCTATCATATTGTGTTTTTCCATATAATCCTAATTACTCTGCCACAAATAAAGGAGCCAAGACCAAAGAGGCTGGACTAATCACCTAGTGTTAAGAAAAAATAAGTGATGGAGTTTATATTGAAATGAACATATCTTCAAACTCTAGGTCTCTACTTTCTTTCTGTCCTGATTCATTAATTAAAAAAAAAAAGGTGGTAGGGGGAATAACATGAAAGATGGTCACAGGAGTGAATATGAATAAAGTACATTATATGTTTGTATGTAGTAATGAAACCCCTTTGTAAAATTAATATATATTAGTAAGAAAACAAAAAGTATTGGGCTTTCTGAGCTAGGTTCTGTTATGTGCCCCAAGGAGAGAACAATGAACAACAGAGAAACTAGAAAGTTCTCGTGTCTTGTTATAGTTTATTGGTAAGTGGTAGGAGGGGAAGCAGAAAGATAATATACTAACAACTAGGAAATGTAACATTAGATGATGATTAGTGCTGTGAAAATGAAGCAAAGAAAAGGTGAGTGAGTGTTACGGAAAGGGAATTGGTGCTATACATGCCAATGTTTTAAATAAGATAGATAAGGTTGATGTCACTGGGGAAACAGTGCCTGCACTGAGTTAATCTCAGGGATACAGCTCCTTAGCAAAGGGCACAGCCCATGCAGTGGCTCTGGGGCTACTAGGTGTTCTATAGATCTGAGGACACGAGGAAGTCACTGTTTGAGAAACGGAACCTTCAAGGTGGGGAGCGTCAGAGACCAATATCAGAAAGGAACTGGATTTGGGGGAGCTTATGTGTACTTTATCTCCTCTACGAATGACATGTAGAATCCTGGGCAGGCTTGAACAGAGGCGTGAGGTGATTTACGTTTTTAAAAGGAGTAGTGTGATTTATGTTGACTGGACAGGATTGGCTTTCAATGCCAAAAGTTTGGTTTTATCCATCTTAGTTTGAGATGTCTGACATCTCAAGTAGAAACATCAAGCAGGCAATTACATAGAGCCTGGAATCCAACAGAGAGGTCTAGGCTGGGCATATAAATTTGGAAATTGTCAGCACATAGATGGTATTTAAAGTAATAAATTTAGATGAAGTCATCAAGGGAGGGAAGAGGCCCAAAGAACTGAAAGCTGGGGATCCAACTTTAAGAGGAGCCAACAGAGGATACTGAGAAGGGCCATCCAGAGAGGTGGGAAAACAACCAGGACAAAGAGTTTCCCAGAAGCCAAGAGGAACAAGCCTGGAAAGGAGGAGGGACTAGCCAGCGTGCAGAGCAGCGCAGAGCTTGCATGCATGGAGTGGAGAGGAGAGAGACTATCTGGGAAAATATTTCCTTGTTTAACTAAGAAACTTGCCTTTCTTCCTCAGACTTCCATGTCGTGGTATAAGGTGTCAGCCTGGGTTGGGCGCTATGTCTGATTTGCTTTTGTTATATGTAATCCCTCTGTCCTTACTCTGCCCTGATTACTGAAGATCCTGGCCAGGAACATATCATGTCCGTGGGGGATGTGCATTTGCTATGTCTGGCTGGTAGACAAGTGAATACGAATGCTGCTTCATCAGTTTGCAATATAGTCGCTCTGTGGCCTAAAGCAGAGTTGGAAGTCGGCCTTGCAGTCTCCAGAATGAAGCCCAAACTCGCTAGCATGCCTTATTGGCTTCAGAAGACACTTGGTTTCTCACTGTCCTCTCATTCTCACCCTCCCTCCTTCCCTTGCCTCTTCTACACTCACACACACCTGACACTCTATCACCAGGGGACAGCTTGCTGTTCTTTCAGACACATTGTTCTCGTCTATGTCTTTGCTCTCTCCACATGCTCTTCATTATGCTTGCCATACCCTTGCTGGCTTTTTTTTTTTTTTTTTGACCATGAAAGTGACGTGGCCCATATGAACTCCTACCGTGGAGCCCCATGTTGGTATATTTATTTATTTTTTCATGGCTTTATCCTCCTGTTGGATTTTTGCATCACATTGAAATGGTTTCCATGTCAGTTTCTCGTTGGGTTTTGTATGGTCTTCAAAGAGGCGGATCACAAGCATCTTACCTCTTTCTCCTACTCTGTCCGTAGGCACACGAGTCAGCTTTTAAAACCTCGAAACTTTATGCTGGCCTTTGTGCTACATACTTCTGCGTTTTCTCATTTTATCCTCCAACAACTTGTTAGGCTTGTTAATCATACAAACTCCAGCTGAAGAAACTCAGATTCAGAATGGTTATGGGATTGTTTATGATGGCTCATTTCAGTTGTCACCTTGACACACCTATAAAGAGGGAACCTGAAGAATTGCCTCCACCAGATTGGCCTGCAGTCCCTGTCTGTGAGATATTTTACTGGCTACTAATTGATATGGAAGGATCCTGTTCACTGTGGACAGTCAAATTCTGGGGACTGTGAACGTAGCCTGTATAAAAAATATAAGAGGAGTCAGGCTAGTAAGCAATATTCTCCCATGTTTTTTGCTTCATGCTCTTGCCTTGAGTTCATATCTTAGCTTCCCTTGATGATGAACTGTAACCTGTAAGATGAAATCACTCCACCCCCAAATTGCTTTTTGACTATGTTGTTTATCAGAGAAATCAAAAGCAAACAGGAACATTGCATAAGGTAATGTGACCTATATTCCTAACTGATTATAAGGGCTGAGCACTAATATCTATCGTGTGTATTTAAATCAAGAATAGGGAAGCAAGTATTGAGGGCCTCAGTTCTTTGCCTTCAGTGCTCCAACATTCCCAAATAATTCCTAACTAATGAAGTTTGTGTTTGTCCTGTTTCCACATGGCTATATGGCCTTCCCGTTTTTTGATGCATATTGCATTAGTCTGATTGTTTATCCAGGAGAAATTTTATCTTTACACCCTCCCCCATATTAACAGCTAGCCAGATCTGAGTGAGATGAAGACCCTACACAGTGGAAGGGAAGAAAAGTGAGAAGGGAAGTAGGACTACTGCCTTGTACAGCGTCTGGGAAAATCCTGCTCATTGTGATCATACCCACACTCAGAGCAGATGGAGGGAAGAGATGGGTGAATGTGGTGGCAGTTACGTTCATCAGCTTGGCTAAACACTAATCCTAGCTTATTCTATCTAAACATTATCTGGGTGCTGCTGTAAATACATCTTGTAAATGTGACTAATGTCTTTAATAAGCTGTCTCTGAATGGTCTGAGTTGCCTGATCCAATCTGTTGAAATGTGTGAAGAACAGAACCTAGGTTCTCCTGAGGGAACAGGAACAGTACCTGTGAACTGCATCACTATCTACTGCAGAAGTTTTTCTACCCATCCTTCCTGACCGCCTGCCTACAGATGTACCTGGCCAAGATCATGCAATTTACTGGACCCTCTTTCCTTGCAATGAACTCCTTTCTGTTTCTATTGGTGTGTGTGTGTGTGTGTGTGTGTGTGTGTGTGTGTGTGTGTAACTGTAGTCATATATGTATATGTATAGTTTTGTGTCACACTGGATCCTTTTCTCTGGTGGAACTCTGATAAGGAAACAAATAATAACAGTGATTCTAAAAGGATCCAAAGATCTCAATGTAGTAGAGAAAGATAATACAGTAATATAATAATGGATACTATGAAGATGAAGAAAGGCCAAAGGAGTGAGTGGTCCCTTGGTTGCCCCCCCAAATCTGGGTTAGTTGCGCTTAGTCTTTATGGTCTATGGTCACCTGTCATGGCACAGTTGTAATGTATTCTGATATGTTTGTGAGCCACTATTTTCCTTCCCCATATCCAATATTTAAGCTTTAGATCCCAGATTATAACTCATATGCTTATTTCTACATGTAGCTTAAAGTTTAACTCATGGGGTGAAATAAAAGTTTCCTGATAAATCAAAAAGAGTTTCTGGCCTTAGGTGCTCAGAAGTGCCCAGACAATCCCGTCTTTCCTATGGCCAGAAAGGATATTTTGGAGGATTCAGTCTTTGAATACCATCAGAAGGAAACTCCAGACAGTGAAAGGTCTTGATACCTTCGAGGGCACACACTTTACTAGGTCCTCTTTTCTGTAAGGGGATATCATTAACATCTCTGCTTTCCAAAAAGATCCTCTTGTCTCTTGATATACACTGGTGACTCTTAAAAGAGCATCTGAGTTGAGGGACTTGTGACTTTTTATTTTCATCGGAGGCTTTCTCTGGGCTCTTTTAATCCATTTTGTTACTAGTACCAAAGTCTGAGATGTGCTGGTTCTGCCAGATGGCGAGGATCTCCTCTAAGGATGCTCTGAAGTGTATCAGGTATTGACTTCGCTTGCACTTGCCTATTCCTTCCAAGACCATGAAGATGTATCTCAAGTGCTGGAGGCAAGCACCAGAAAGGGAGAGGTGAAATCCTTTTCCATTCTTTGGGAAATAAGATAGCTCGATCTTAATTTTTTTTTAAAATCTCTCTTTCATTATAGTGAAAGGAAAGAGGAACTTTGTGTTTATTTATTGAAAAAAAGAGTCACTGAAAGAATTAAACTTGATAATAAAGATGAAAATACAATTGGAGAAATGCTGGTTCTAGGACAGGAAACAGCACACAATCAGTCTGGAGTGTCTTATAGTATTAGAACTCAGGGAAGTACTGAAAAGCAAAGACAAAATAAACAAAAGCAACGCCATGTATGTCACATTGGGGTGTGTGCACACACCTGTGTGTAAGGAGGAGTTACCAGTAACCATAGCTGGAACAATTTGAAGCGATAAAGTAGATGAAAAGTATTGATTATAACTGTTAAGTTTTATTCACCCATTATAGATATATTAAAAAGCTATATGGAAGTCTGCCACTTAATAAGTTTATTAAAATTTAAGAAATAGTTTGAATGGAAATACTGTGCATGAGGATATGATGTTCCTTCTAGATGCAACAGGCTATGAAAAATCCCAGTACTACAGAGAAGCAGAAGGGAGTATAAAGTCTCAGCCCTAACCAAGAAACTATTTACAATTATTATCTTCTGGGAAAGTGAAAATAAGGTTTTTTTTTTCCAATGCAGTGACAGCCCACGTATCAAGAGCACTGTGACAGCAGGTGTGTCAAGAGCACTGTGACAGCAGGTGTGTCAAGAGCACCGTGACAGTGGGTGTGTGTCAAGAGCACCGTGACAGCAGGTGTGTCAGGCACACTGTGACAGCGGGTGTGTCAAGAACACCGTGACACAGAGGGTGTGTGTCAAGAGCACCATGAGGCGGGTGTGTCAAGTGCACTGTAGGGCAGGCCCAGAGCTCAGGGACAGTTGACAGATACAAAAATTAATCTATATTTTTGTGTGCTTTTTAAAAAAATAGTGTGTTTTGCTTGCTTGCTTGTTTTTGTCTTTTTGGGAAAGGAAAAATGTGAAATTTGGTAGTGAGGGAGGTGGGGGAGATCTAGGAGGAGTTGGGGGGAGGGAAAATAATACAGGCAACTTTATTGTATGGAAAAATTAAAGGCCAATAAAACAAACAAACAAAACCAAGTAAACCCTGGTGTTAGGTGTGGGACACTTTCCTACAAGTTGTTGGTCAGGACATCCCCAGAGGTCTCTAGAACAATAAAGTTTATTACCATCGGTTTTGGTTTTCCATCAAAACTGTATGGTGAGAAACTATTGTTGAAGACGCCACACATTTTGGTCATAGGGCATGGATAAATGAAGTTGGAACTAAAACGGCAGCTTCCTCCCTGATGGTTAGCTTTCACAGTGCCAGAAGATGCTGTGCATGCTACTGGGGAGGGAAGGTCATAAACAGTCACAAATCCTTTGAGCTGTAGCAGTGACTGGCACGGAAACACATACTCCTTGATGTAATGCTTCGGGGGTAACCACCCTCGTTGTGATTGGATTTGAGACCCACAGATTAGAAGGCATTCCTGACACTGTAATCTTGGTCAAGAGCTAGCATCTAGGGAGATCACAGGCTTTAGAGGAAAGCCCACTACCATTGTTTGGATAAATGAACGTTTAGTTAAACTGCCTTTTAAATACTTGTGCGTGCTAGTGCTTCTTCAGCCTTTATCAAAGAGGCTTCTCTTTTTCTTTTTGGTTTAACGAGACAGGGTCTCTTTATGTAACTGCTATGGCTGTCCTAGGACTTGCTTTGTAGACCAGGCTGGCCTTGGACTCACTGAGATCCACCTGCCTCTGCCTCCTGAGTGCTGGGATTAAAGGCTTTTACCACCACCGCAGGGCATCAAAGAGGCTTTTTATTGTAGCAGGTGACAGTTAATACTGGGATTTATAACTGGTCAAAGTTCAAAGAGAGAATAGGGGATTGTAGAGTATCTGGTTCTGAATGAATAATTTCTGTTACCCCCATCCAGTGCTCAGAAAAAAAAATGTAAAGAGAAAGGAGAAAGAATGCAAGATTCCCAGGATGGGGAGGAGTGTTGAAAAAAAAAAAAAGAATGGCTTCTAGACACGCCATAACCAAACTCACAAACTCACCATGGCTTTGGCCACCAGCAACAAGATCTACCTGCTCAAAATTGAGCTTATCAGAATTTCATCATGGAAAGGAAAAGAGCCCATGAGGACCTACTCCTTGCTGAGAGAGTGTTGACAGTTAACAATGGCCGGGGAAGAGCTGTTCCTTTCATGAATGGCATAGACACTTGTAAGCTGTCTATGCCTCAGTAAATAGCCTCCCAGCCCTACTCAAGCGAGAAGCATGGGTCACACATATGAAAAAGGCATGAAAGTAAGCGAAAGGACTTGAAAGGAGGGGAAGAAGAAAGGTTTCAGAGGGAGAAAGAAGGAGGATGAGGAATGGTAACTGGAGTGAGGATTAATAAAACTGTTTGTGCGTGTATGAAGATGTCAAAGAATAAGAAAAAAATTAAATTATTTAGCTTGGATTTTAGCATGAGTTAAACACATAGTAGTGATGGTTATTATTTAAAATGATTTTTTAAAAAAATCTTTGCAGAGTGTAAAGCATTTTGCAGGACAAAGTCTTATTCTTAATACAACTCTGCCTATTATTAAAATACTATCTTTCATCTTGTCACTAAATATGGCTTCAAAACATAGGGCTGAGGCCTGGAAAAATGCTTTCATGGTGTTGGTGATTCCCTGTTATTCTCCCATTATGGAGCACTAAAGAGAGACTGTTAGTAGAAGAAGAACGTGGACTGGACTCTTGTCTGCTCCTACTGGAGTCTTTTCTGCTTCCTTTTCCTACCTCTAGTATGTTCTCCCATCCCAACAATGACAGTGCTTTCTGATATAGGCAATAAATCCAGCTGGAGGTTGTCCGACACTGTCTAAAACTGCTCTCCACACTGAGACACGAGTACCAGACCACGCTGATGGGGTGTCCCTTCTGCTTTTCCTCCAGCAGCATTTGAGCACTAAGTTTTATTTCTGTGAAGTCACACCGCCAAAGTGGTGATAGTAGTTTTCAGTCTCTTCCTTTTGTTCCTGAAGGTGTGGCCTGTTAGCTACTTGAAATTTTCATGAGTATTTCTAGTAGTGGTTAGAGTGGTTATTGGTAGCTGAAAGGCAGACATGGGGGAGTCATGGGATAATACTGAATAACTCTGGAAATAGGCAATTGCTTTCGGTCCATTTTCTTTGACATCAAAGCTAATTGGAAACATTTAGCAATGCACCCACTACTACTTTGGGTTTTTTTTATGACCACTTCAGTTAACCTAGTTAATAACTTCATAAAGCATGTAGTATTAATTTCTTTTTGTACACATAACTTGTCTGGTTTCTCTGTTTTGGATAATTTTTGGCGTGGGAGTCAGGATCTCATCTAGCACCAGCTGGTCTTGAATTTGATATATAGCTCAAGACCGTCTTGCTTTTCCCTTCCAAATGTTGGGTCTGTAGCTATGAACCAGCTCACCAGGTTGGTATTCTACATAGACCTTGAATTATACAACAACCTTTTAGCTTTGTTTTGTGTTAGTCTATGCTTTATGCCAGAAAGACCAGTATGTGTGTATATGAAGTTTTGATAAATTCCTTTTGACTAATGTTTGTCAACATAGTTAATTTGAGCAGATGCTGGTTGGGTCTCCAGGAGACAGGTAGAATGTTGTTTTGCCTGCTTGCAATATGGCTTCTAACTCTGTCTCCCATATAGAAAGGGATCATATGTAGCTACTTAGCCATAGTTCTTTGCTGAGCACTAGATGCTCTTTGAAAAAAAAAAGTCAGTTCCTGCTTTAAATATGATATGGTACTTTATATCATAAAGCATGCCTCTTTTTTTGTAAAACAAGCAATTCCTTGTTTTAGCACTGATGTAGATTTGGTTTCCTGTGTCAGGTTTCTAAAAGCATGGTATACTTGATGTCTCTGTTTCCTTGAAATACATAGTCTGGCACAGTAGCGATATGCTTTCTATTAAGGCTTTGATCTCCATCTTAACTGCATAGTTTTGCTTACTAGACTTTCATTGGCTCTGCAAAGCTTTGATCTTTCCCAGCATGCCTATGTGAGGCCCCACAAAGCTATAGTCTGAAAAGAGATGCCAACATTCTACTATAATCATCAAAATAACTTGCAAGAAAAAGCAAACTTTTCACACAAATCCTATATTTAAAGATGTCTTCCTTCCAATAACATTCATTAAGCGACCATCTGTTTGCTTTTGATTATCATCTGGGCCACTAATAAGCGAGTTTAATCTGAGCAATGTTATTCGCACGCTACGTCTAAATTTAGTATGTTTCAAAGAAGTCAGCAAGGCTGGCCTCCAGGAAATATTGACTTTGATGTAACATCTGGTATTCAGGGGTTTTCTTTGTAGTTCCTATCTGGGGGGGAAGGGGGTGGACCAAAGGGCAAAGTGAAATCAAATGACTTGGGCAGAGTCATGTAATTACTTGATGACTTAATCTGAATTACTTGCTGTTTCTATCTTTGGTTGAAAGTTCTAGTATTGTATTTTTATTGTACAAATGGTACATGTGAAGTGTTCTTGGCATAGTTCTGCTATGCATGCCCAACTATTCACAAATTGATAAACAAGTGTATGTGGATTTGTAAGACTAGTTGCAGATTTATTTATTGTGCCATTCTTTTCAGTATGGCTCCCTATACTTTATGAAGAAAATAACTTTTCCTGCATTGCCTTCCCCTTTATTAAAACAGTCAATTGAAGTCTAAGGAAACAGCTATTCTTAGCAAAGCCTCTCTGATCTTTCTGTTCTCATGGAAGATGGAGGATGAAGTAGCCTGGACAGCTGACTTGATTTGGTGAGACTAGAAAACACCATCAGCATGCAACCTTTGTATCTTCTCAAATGCCCCTCCTCTCTTCCCTGTCTGGGCTGGAGATCAGAGAGATATCAACACCCAGGATGTGTAGTTGGAGTTCAAGGTTATGATGTTTTGTTATAAAGGAGAGTTTTGACATTTTACTCAGTCAACGTGTTTTTATAATCAATGTGTGATTTTAATATCCTTGTACCAATTATAGCCTAATGTATTCCATCTGATTAGTGCTTTTAACTTTTAAGATATTTTCACATTTATGATTTAATTTAATCTTCAAAGGTTTCTATTATAAAATAATTTGCATGTTATGTATATTACATATGCTTAGAATTGTTTTCATAGCACCAGAAGAACTGCTCCAGATTTGATACAATTCAACCATATTTTAATATTTTATACATCAAAAATTATACATTAAAATTATAATCTGACAAATTGACATTTAAGCCTTAAGATTACTGGATTTGCCTTGGGCAAACCACTAGACTTTTCCAACCACTCCCCATGTTCTCAGATGTGGACTATGTCAAGGCATTGACAAAATAAAATGAGATTATATGTAAAGCTGTTAGCATATGCTGTAGATCGCTTCTCTTTCAGCATAATAGCCATCATCTTCATCAGAACAGGAGTAAAAATTTTTAAGTGACCTCAGAAAACAGGCTTCTTAACTACTGACCTTCAGTCAAAAGAAGTGGGTATAGTGAGGCCACTGAGCCCTCACTCAAGATTTCTGTTGCTTGGCCTTCCACTTCCCAGTCTGTTTGTATATAATTCTGTCCTAAGTATGTGTGGCCTTGTAGTCTTAGGAGGTGCTGACAAGTATACACTGTA